CAGGCCCGCATTTAGGGGGGGGCATTGGGGGCATTTGCCCCGGGCGGCAAATTTTGAAGGGCGGCAAAAATCTTAATAGGTATACAATTTTTAAAAATTAATTATTTTTATTTAATTTTAAATTTTTTCAAACAGAACAATTTATTTTTATGAAACAAAAATATCTATTTCTAAAAAAAAATATTACTTTATTATTTTCTAATTTAAAACGTGTACAAAGATATAAATGTAAAAGAAGATATATCAAAGCTGTATAACAACATAGACTACAGTTAGTAGTTAGATAATAGTATTGATTATACATAGTAATTTTTATAATCAACAGCACTATAAATAAAGTAGGCGGCAATTTATTTGATTCATGTTTTTATCTAATTTTAACAAAGTATTGATATTTTCTCCCTTAAACTGGTTTTATGGATGTCGTCGGCCGTTGATAGTCGATTATTATTGGAATACTAAGAAAGTTAAAACACAATAATTTGTCTCATTTTTCACAAAATTACTATCTAATAATGTCACACTAATAATGTGTTGTGTACAGACAGCTCATTGTGTTTAGTACTCGACTACAAGTGACCGAGTTAATATGTTGAGGTGTTTTTTTTTTATTTGTATATTTTATTATTTATTAACGTATTAAAATGAGTGATGGTAGAAAACGTTTAAGTGGAAGTGCTTATAAAAAAGTTGCTAAATTAAAATTAGAAAAACAACAAAAAGTCATTTCTCAAACCGCAAAATTAACTTCATTTTTTGGCAATCAATCTCCAATTCGCCAAGTGAAATAGAGACTACAGTTGAACAGATTTTAAATGAGTCTAGTGATAAAAAGTAATTTAAAAATCAAATGTTAACTTTTGTACGTTATTTCAGTTTTATATAAATGAAAAATTTTATAATTTTTTTATTTAGTGAACATCCTCTACATAGTACTTTTGAAACCATGGCAAATGAAAATCAATTAATTGAATATTCGGAATTATTAAATACGCCAACTAAAAAACCCAATCCAACACTTTTGGGGGACGGCAAAATTAAGTGCACCGGGTGGCAAAATTCCTAAATGCGACCCTGGTTATATGATATAACCACAGACTACATAAAAATATAGTTAGTGATTAGTAATCCCAAATATCAGTGATACAAATAGACGAAGCAACAGTGTAGTTCGTGTGGTCTCATAAGACTGCGCCGTTAATCTTAACCGATGTAAATTTTTTTTAAAAATAGTGATAATAACAATTATTAAGAGACAACACAATACCCATTCAGACGCTTATGTGAATCACATTTTTGTAAAATATTAATTACTATTCGTTCTATGTATTATAATATAAATTTTTTTATACAAACACTAAATACATTTATTTTTTACTTTGCTCAAAAATATATATATTTGTTTAATGTTTTAATAAAAATAAATGGTTACAAGGTTTTTATAAGTCAGTAGAAGTAAAAAATATTTAATAAATATACAAGGGTTAATTAAACGAAATATGTTTTTTTTTTTTTAATAAATCTGTTTCCAATAATTGACTTGTATTAAAGAACAGAATACAATATTATAAAGCTTAATTTATTTAAATAGAAATAACAAAAAATAAATGTATAATAATCCTTTAATTAAGGCGTCTATATAATAATATTCCAAAATAATAAAAATAACTTTAAAATTGTATTAAATACTAAAATAAGTCATAGTTATCTAATACACTTGGAGTTATAATGTATTTAAATTTTGTTATTTATCTAGCATTTTTTTTTAATGAAAAATAAATTATCAATCAATAAAATTATGATGAACTAAATTTGTAATCTAATGTAAAAGTATTAATTAAACGAGATTAGTAGTTAATAATATTTTTTTAATTTTAATAAAATTGCCATTTTTTTTAAAGTGTGTGTCCTACAACTAATAATTAAAAAATATTTAAGCTTAAACAAACAGAATATACAGTTGGTTTATGTCACCATTAGAATTTATATTAAAAAATACAGTTTTTTTACACACTTCAGTATTTATATATAGCAAACACGAATTTTCTTCAAAAGCTTTATGCAAAAAATTATTGTAACCATCTTGGCGAGGAATTAGCACTTGGGAGATTCTCTTACATGTATCAAAATCCAAATTGTTATGTGGTGCTATCATTTGATACATTTTAATCTTATTTGTAAAACCTTCAAAGTCAACTTTGAAATCTTCATAGTTTTTTTTTTCATACTCTGAAAAATGACTTAAAAGATCTTGTATATCATTTTTGAGAATTCTTATACCATAGAGTAAATATTCTTTTAAACAACATTCTTCTAAGTTGTAAATTGAACAAAATGAGTGTGTTATTTCTACAGTGTCAGTTTCATTATACAGCATACATGTTTGAACTACATTAGTAAATTCTAAAGCTAAATAATTGGCTTTGGATAGTACTTGATTAATGCAAAAAATGATCATTTTTTTGTTCAGATATTCTTTTGGTACACATAAAAGAAATTTTTTCATATTTTCACCACCAAGAATAGATATTGCTTCTTCTTTTTCTCTTAGTGTTAAGAAATCTAAGTCCATATGATTTATTACATAATTTAGGAGCTCATCCAATGATGAATTTTCTTTTACCATATTCTTTTTGCATTCTTCATAAACTTGGATAATATCATTTAATGCAATCATAAGTTTCTCAAAAGTTAACTCATTTTTAAAAAATTTTTGAATCTGTTCACAAAATTCATTTATATGTTTTTTTGTAAAATTCATACAATCATTGAAATACTTTTGAACTATACAATAAGGTATGCTATTTTTATGAAAGATGTTTTGGTATATTATTTCCTTTGAAAGTGTAGTACGTTCTGTAACAGACTAAATTATATAGTTTATTAAAAAGCACATAGAAACTGAAAGTATAACTATAATTTTTAAAAGTTTATTTAAAGCAAAATATATATTAATAATAATTAAAAAGTCAGTTATAAAAGTTTTAAATAATGAAAAACTATACTAAGAAACAACTTTTCTTAAATTAATTATACAAAAGATTTAAATATCAAAATATCGAGAAAACAGTTTTTTTAAATTAATATTTTTAATATAATTTTAATTTTAAATAATTACCCATAAGTGATCAATTTTTATTATAAAATGTTTTACTATTGTCAATTGAAAAATTATTATTTAATTGACTCTAAAACTATAAAGAATATAACTTACTTCAAAAATATTTTGAATTATTCTATTTATTGGCAAGGCAAATAAAACTCCAGTGACAAGAAAAACATCTAATCGTAAATATGTCAGAAAACTTAATATCAATTTCTTCATTGAAATTCCATCAATTATATCACTTGTTAAGCCAACAATACTCAAAGAACACTGTGTTATACAAGTACTAGTACGTAGTATCAACAAAGTTTTCCCAAACCGTGATGCTAATAATGAAGAACCACTTAATTCAAGAGTTTTTACACCAGCACTAAGTGGTGCTGTCATAACACCCATCATTGAAATTGTTAGATCTAACCAATGTTTTCTAGCTACAGCATCTGATAATGATTGATTATGAGAATTTCTATCAAATAAATTACTTATTTGTCTACCAATATCCCAAATAGATGAACTTGTGGCTACTGCAGCAGCTGGCAATGTAATAGGTGCCATAATAGGTAAAAATAAGCTGCCTGCGAGTAAAGTGCCAGATGTGAATGATGTCACTTTCCCTACTATATCCAAACAATTTAATAATTTTGCTGATGGTTTAGAACTTGGGGTTAAATCTTTTATTAAGTAGTCAGCTTCATCATAAAAACCTGTTTTGGGATAAAACATGTAACCTTTGGGTAATGTATTATTTTTTAAATAACTGTTCCAATCTTTATATGTTCTACCTAATGATACATCATAGTAAAAAAATTTTCTTTTATTAATTTTTATTCTTAATATAATCCATAAATGAATGTCTTTATCAGGAAATTTTTGACATATTTCACACACATCTTTACAAACACTATGTACCAATGTTACTCCAACATCAATGTCTTCAACTTTATCATCAATAATTTTTTTTTTAATAGTATTAACTATAATTTTAACTTGATTCTGTTTTTCAGATGAATAATAACTAAATAATTCACTACTTTCATTATTAGTTTCAACGAGTATTTCTTCAATTTTGTTTTCATTTTCAAAAGGTGATCCCATACAAGTATAAGCAATATATAAATTTAAATCTCTAAGTTGAACAGTAGTCCATTTTGGTCGTCCATTGAAATATTGATATTGTATTTTTTCCAAGCGCCCTTTAAGTCGATGATCCTGGAAATAAACAAAGGTTACAAATTATATTTATAAGTTATGAACATTTAATGATATATTTAAAAATTATTAATTTAATAAAACTATAGCTTATTAAAAAAAATCATTTTTAATTGGCATGAAATGAATTTTTATTTATTGAAAGTTACATTTTTCATAAATGAGTGAAAAAATAATGTCAGAATAATATTTTTTTAAACAGATAATTCAATAAAATAATTGCCTTAATTAAGACATTATTTATTTATTTATTCAACATTTATTTATAAAATTGATAGAATCAGTAAGTCACTAGGAGATTTACTTTTAAGCATAATTAAGAAATTATTTTTGGGGAAAGTCATAAAAACTACAGAAACTAAATTATGATTAAAGGTTACTATACATTCTAAGAATTCTAACCACTTCTAACATTGATTAATGTTTGGAAGATACCTCCCAATCATCCAAAAATCAACTTACCCCAGGTAACTTAAAAAATTTAGACTATAAAACTTTAAGACACTAGAATTCATTTTTCAAAACAACCATTTATAGTTCATTAGATAAGTGATAAGAATAAATAATTAAAATTTAATTTTTGTTACTTTAGTATATTATGGCTTACTTACATAATTTTTCATCATTTTAGACTTGATAACTAAATATGATAGTATTCTCTTTTAGATGAATGACTGGGATCACTAAAAATATTAATTACTTAATGAAAAATTGTATTTATGATTCAACTATTACTTGAGACTTACATAGGTCTTGAATTTTGTTTTTTCCGTGATGGTAAATTTTAATTCAATCTAAATTATTAAACATAATTTTTTCAATTAAAACTGAATTTTCAAGAATCTATTTGATAGATATCAAATGATTAATTTTTGGTTTTATCAGCATAGAATAAGGAACGTGCATATAAGAGGGAATATAGGTGTAGCGTCAATCGTGGATAAGTTGAGAGAAAATAGACTTAGATGGTTTGGTCATGTTATGAGGAGAGAAGAAATGGAAGCTGTAAGAACAGTTAGAGAAATGAATGTTGAAGGAAGAAGAGGAAAACCAAAAAAGAGATGGAGGGATGCTATTAAATCCNGAGGAAAACCAAAAAAGAGATGGAGGGATGCTATTGAATGCGATTTGAGGACAGCTGATGTGAGCGTAGATGATATGGGAGATTGTGTCAAGTGGAAGTTTGGGATAAGGGTGGCCGATTCCAAGTAGTTGGGATTAAGGCGAAGAAGAAAAAGAAAAGAAGAAATTAAATAAAAAAAAATGGATTTAAAAATATTTGGTAGGTAAAGATACACATTTAAATGATCTTGTTTTTCGTTTACTGAAAAGTTTTGAAAAAAATGGAGTTGTCTTGCACCTTAAATGTTACACAATTGAACTCATTAAAAATATTTCTTATATTGATCAATTTACCTATTAGGTCTATCCTAAGCTGCAATAAGTTTTTTATATGTTTATTCATTTTTTTTTTTCAAAACAGTAATACATATATGACATGTAATTATAAAAAACTACAATTTAAAATTAGACAAAAAAGATAAACACAAGTTAACTAATGTTTAACTTAAAACTTACTTCAAAAAAGTATACTTATTGCTACCATAGATGAAATATGTATTTAATAAATACTATTTATTCTATTTTGCTACTAATAAGTACTATCACTTTAAACTGAGAATTGATAAATTGATAACTCAATTCTAGAGTATAATTTGCGTAGTAATTACTTTTGATAATTTAAAATAGAAAATCAAGATTTAGATTTAGATGTTATAACAGTGATGGGAAATATCGAATAGTAAAAATATTCGATAGTTATACATATATTCAAATATTTTTAAAAACTATTCGATAGTTTATGCTAAAAACACACTATTCGGTTGTATAAAAACAATTCGAATACTATTCGATAGTTTAAAATATTCGAAAATGCCCATCACTAGTTATAACGCTATCGATATTTATAATCAATATCATAATAACTGAATCTTAAATAAATAAGTTTTATAATATTTATGTTACATGAAACTAAATTTTATATTTTACATTATAGAGTTTTGTTTCTATGATCTAAACATTTTTAATAACAAAAAAAACATTTAAATGAAGAGATCAGGAATAATAGATTTTTTTACGTGTTATACTTTAAAATATTACTACGAAAAACATTTTGAAACTAAAGTAGTGATTCTTTTTTTTGTAATGAACATAATTGAATAGTTATGACTGCCAGATATTTTCGATTGTATTTTAGACTATCGAACTATAAAAAAAATACTTGATAGTCAAAAGTTATGCAAATGTTCATTAAAATAATATATTTATTGTACCATTTAGTTTTTTTAACACACATAATATGCTAAATCGTTAGAAATCATATTGCACTGTGAGTACTCTAGTGTTTTAACTTTAACAAAGATTTAAAGTTTTAAATTTTTGAGTTTATATACATGTATAAAACATAAGGGATTACAAATACAGGTAGCTAATTGGTTTTTTATGACATCGCTGTCATAGTTACGGAGTGTATATTGTCAATTATGACTATCAATAGATATACTTTCTGTATGGCCAGTTAGTATATTTATAAACTCACCACAATGTGCCTACTACCATTGATAATAAATGCTGTGTACCTGCGAATATCGATGTCATAAAAAACCAATTAGCTACCTGTATTTGTAATCACTTGTATATTATACATGTATATTAACTCAAAAATTTAAAACTTTAAATGTTTATATCTAATAAAAAAAATAAAGTAATAAATAAAATATGGATATTAATCGAATAATTCGATAGTCCAGTGCCCGTAGTCTACTATTCCATTAATATATACAATCAAAAAAAATTCACATCTGTAAATCCGACCCGAATTTGAATTCAATCAGACTTTTTAAGAAATAATGAAATCGGTCGGACAAACCCTAACATTTTACGAATTGGACGGCCTAACAAAATTGAGAAGTGTAATTTACAAATGGGACCAAGTTGGGTTTTTAAATTTTTAATCGGATTAGATTCGGATCAGTCGTAAAATAATTTCGGATTGGATCGGGCTAACAAAGAAATGGTATAAGCTCGAAAATAAGTTAGGTCGGATGAAATTTGAGATACACAATGTTATAATCTTGTATTTGAATTAAAGTACTTTTAAATTTTTTTGTATTTTTATAATGTTTTGAACTATTAAAAATATATATATTCAAACAGGGCTGGACTCTAAATTTTCTCCGTGGGGTGTGATGAGCAAATTTGCCCACTAAAATTTGTAATGCAGTGCCAAAGACTATTTCATACAGTTTGTGTCAATAGTATAATATTAGTAACGTTACAACAGTAGGATACTATCGGTATGTATTTATAACACGAAAAATTTTCAGGTGTTAACTCTTCAATAGCATTGATAATTTAGCCGTTAATTATTCCAAATACTTCAAATAGCTTCAATTCAAAGCAGAGAAGAGGTATTAATTTTACTATGATGTGTTTTTTTTTTGTGTCTGTTACCACTTTTTCTCAGCTCTCACCGAACTTATTTCTTTTAACGATACGTCAAAAGATCACAAATAATATCGAGTCGAAGACATTACCCTCAAAAATTGAAAAAAATGATATGCGTTGTTATATAAAAATAATTTTTTAATGGGGTAAAATTAAAATTAGCCCCTCCGAAAAAAATTGACCATTATAGGCTTATGTGTACAATTATCCAAAAATGGTACAAGATTAAACGAACATATAAATAAATTTTCAAAATATCTTAAATCAATAAAATTCAGTATTTTCCAAAGAATAAAAGTAATTAATGTATATCTTGTAAATTTATAAAAAACTTGTTTACGTATGATTAATTTAAATACATTATGATTATTTAGTGCATAAATTATAAACTAAATAAATGTATAATGAAACAGTAATTAGAGCAACTGAACTCAATTCTTATTATAAGCAGTTTTTATTTTAAGAGCTGCGATTAGATCTTTACTAACCAAAAGTGCAGTTTAGGAAAGTTATGATTTTGCCGTCCTAACAAAAAAATAACTTCAATGCAAAGCTGAGAAGGTATTAATTTTACCGTGATGAATGAGCGAATTAAAAAAGGACATTTACCCCGAGCGGAAGTTTTTAAGATGGCGGTATTTTTTTCAAGAGTCTCATATACCCATAGTAAAATTAATTTTTATTTTACTATGCATATACCTTTGAAAGTGGTAATTTTTTCTGTTTTAATTTCTTTTAACAAGTATTATTACCCAAATAAAATAGAAAAAAAGAATATTCTCCTAAAAACTTACATTTTATGAATAATATCTTTTAGTGATGGGAAATATCGAATAATAACCATCGAACTATTCAATAGTTGTTCACTATTCGAACTATTCGATAGTCATTTAAAAACTATTTGAATAGTAAAAATATTCGATAGTTACACATATATTTGAATAGTTTTTAAACTATTCGATAGTTTGTTCGAATATTTTTTAAAACTATTCGGTACTTTCATTCGAATAGTATTTAAAATATTTCATAGTTATTATGATAAAAATAAAATATCCGGTGGTATAAACACAATTTACAAACGTAAAAATTTAAAACGCGTTGTCCTCATTATCGGTGTTATGCCTTTGCAAAACAAAAGAGCAGGTAATTCTAGACTAAGAACAGTATACAAGGTATTAAGTGTAAAATAAGACTTTAGTATTTACGAATACTTCTGTTGCGCATAGAACAAACCTTTCCGATAAAACTGAAAATACATCATTAGTCATCGAAAAAAAGAACTGCTTTTTAATTTTCGACCCATTTTTTACCAATGACTCACTAACTAAAAATAAATAAAATGGTACTTTTTACTATTATTAATTGTATAATAATTTATTTGAAGTATTCGCTAATTATCTTCTTATTATAATTAAGTGTACTTAATAAAAATTTTAGATAGAACTAATCGAATATTTTTTGAAACCATTCGCTAGCCCATTTGAATGTTTTTTAAAACTATTCGATAGTCTATGCTAAAAACACACTATTCGGTTGTATAAAAACAATTCGAATAGTTATTCGATAGTTTTTTAAAACTATCGAGTGCTATTCGATAGCTTAAAATATTCGAAAATGCACATCACTAATATCTTCAACTAGTTACAATTTGTGATTTTTTAAGGATTATAGAAAAAATAGAAAATAATAAGTAAATAATAAAAAAATCATGGTAAAATTAATACCTTTTCAGATTCCTATCAAAGCTAAAAACATAGGTATTCATGCAATATTTTGACACGGCACCGCCTTTTGCTCTAGGCCGGCGCTTACCCGTGTCACTCTCTATATCAGCCGTCCAGCTATTAATATGACAATCGGTCATATTAATGACACCGAGATAAGGCCGCCGCCGAATATGGATTACTGATATTGCGGTCTGTTGCGTTACCGACGTACACCTTAACTGGTTGCTCCGTCTATTCTGTGTTTTTTTAGCTTCGATGCGAAGCTGAGAAGGTATTGGTTTTACTAAGATGTGTTTTTTTAGATTCGATGCGAAGCTGAGAAGGTATTGGTTTTACTAAGACGTGTTTTTTTTTTTTGTGTCTGTTACCACATTTTCTTAGCTCTCACCGAACCGATTTCTTTCAATGATATGTCAAAAGATCACAAATTGTATCTAGTCGAAGACATTACCCTTCAAAATTGAAAAAAATTCCCTCGTTACCCGTAAATGGGGGAAACCTCCAAAAAAATTACGAATTTAAAAATTTCGGACTTTATTTTATCTTCACGGTGAAAATGGCTACCAAATGNAAAAAAAAATTTCGGACTTTATCTTATCTTCATGGTGAAAATGGCTACCGAATGCTATTTTTGTGTGAAAATTTTCGATTTTGTATTTTACATTTTTAACTTTATTATGCTATAACTTTTTGAAAAATGAATGGATCAGTACAATTTTTTCATGAGGAGTATTATTTATATACATCTTTCATTTGACATACTGTTTTTTTAAATCGGACCATTTCCCTATATACGAGGGGGGTTCAAATCTAAAAAATGCATGTAGAAAGTAGAACTTTTTCATCTTAAATTTTGAAAGTGTTCCGGAAAGTCTGACACTTTTATATATATCTTAAATTAAAGATAATATAATGTTCTTTATTATGCAAAAAAAAAATTTCGGACTTTATTTTATCTTCACTGTGAAAATGGCTACCAAATGCTATTATTGTGTGAAAATTCTCGATTTTATTTTTTACATTTTTAACTTTATAATGATATAACTATATGATATATAACTATACATATATAACATATAGTGTATGGATCCACACAATTTTTTTATGAGAAATAATATTTTTTAATAATCCCTTTTTCATTCGACATACTTTATCTTAATCAGGATATTAATAAGAAACTAGCAGATCATGTAGCTTTTGGAATAAAACACCAATTTTTTAAAATTAAACACTATCTAAAGATTTGCATCGCAGCGTTTTTTTTGATAGTGATTTTAATCACTGTCAGATATCATAATACTTGATCCAACTATGCCACGTCACCACTGTGCCGCGATCCCCTTGTGCTGGGTTTTTGTCTTCTGCCTTTTGGCTCGTTTCTGTAACGTATTTCGACGTCTGTTACTGTGTCCTTTTTCCAGCACCTTGTGCGGATACTCTCAGCCTGCAATTGTGCTGCGACATAAGTGTTGGTGTTATTTATTTAGTACTCGCTAGAGCGAACTATATATATATATTAATATTTATTTATCGGTACATTTTGTACACGCTTCACCGTATTCTGGATACGCGATAATTTTTATATTGTACATGAAAAATTACTTTAAAACCTGATATTTTCTACTTTGAGCGTTAAATAAATTTATAAAAAAAACTGGGATGGAACTGAATTTATTTTTATACACTTAACATTATTTTGTAAATAAAAATAATATATGTATAATTTTCTAAAACATTTGGGGGCTAAGTCTTATCTCTCCATTTATGCCTATGACTGCCTGCAACGAAACTAATATTTTGAAATATTTTTTCATTATGAAATTTCGACCCGAGCACAATGTATGATTGCTACGTCCTCGCTAAAAACAATAAAAGGATGCGAAGCTCTGACAAGCTGCCGGGTTTACGCCGTTCACTGCTTCCTAAGGTTAAGTCGTACCACTCTTAGAACTTGTTATGGCTCGCAAGAGAAATCAAAGACCTGAAAAATAAACAAAATTTTAAAATGAATAATGAAACAGAAATTAATTAAATATTTTTAAAATTAATTTAACACATGTATCGATTATAAATAAGTAAAAGGATTTAAGCAACATTTTAGTTTTTTTTTTATAGGAAGTGAAAAAAGTTGTTATTATAATCGTTAGTTGAATTATCGTATACATCATATTAATATATACAGGTTTATAACATAGGTTTCAATAAAAAAAAAATACTTACGATTTAATTTGAAGTTGTAATATAAACGAAATGTCGCTTCCGAAATACCTTATGACATTTTTAGGCTATTATTGCGTTAAATATTAATCAACAGATAACCAATATATTATTTTCACAAAAACCGACACTTAAACCTAGAGTCCTATTACCAGTTATGTTTAATTTTGAAAACATAATATTTTAAAAATCTAAAGGGACTTGTCATTAAAATATATATATGAAACATGACAATTTTTTATTTATTTTTAATTGTGTCAAATACAATTTTAATTTATTGAGAAATATTTAGTTGTGTTATATAATATTATTATGCATTTATTAAAGGTTATTATCTAACTGAAATCGCCGTAAAAGGCTTACGACTTCAATTACTATCGATCGATTTAGTGACAGTGTACCTAAGTCAGACATTATCCCTTATAAAACTAGCTAAAAGTTTTCGCTCTGATAAATTTTAATGACTTTAATTGAAAAATAATTAATCTTTTTATCATGAAAAAAAAACTAAGTTCGAAGGAGGAATGTTTACTATGTTATACAATAAATAAAACTACTAATACAGGCTGTACATCCCACTTACTTTCTGTAATAGTGCAAGAATTTATTTTAATAAATATTCAAATAAATTTTGCTTTTAATCTTTTAATTTTTCTCAGGGTAAAGCTATAAAAATGATGATATTTCATATTATTAACTATTTAATTCTTTTTTTTTTTATACAAATTATAAGATTTGTCAAAATATCAGTTACATAACTAAACAAAGAAGTATATTCCAAGATGTTAATTTAATACACTCTTATAAAAAATTGTTTTATAATTTGGAAATATATATTTAGCTCTAAATGCTAAATATATGTTGAAATCTTGTTTAATAAAACCATGCGGCCATAATTTTAAATTTAAATTCATTTTAACAAAATATTTGTAAACATTTATTACATAGAAAAAATTAATAAAAAAATAAGTCTATTTGCAATAAATTTAAGTTTTTTTTTAATTAGATTATTTTTTAAAGTTTATATTGTCTAAAACTACATAGAAAAAAAATGAGAATTGAAGACGCACATAATATCATTAAAGATTTAAAAATGATGAAAATACTACAATCAAACACGGTCATTGTCATAGCTATGCCTATAACCTTCATTTTTAAAATTTTATATAGAATAAAGAAAATTTATGTAATAGGAGACGTGGCTTTACAAGATTCCTTTTAACACATTACACAGTGGGCCATATTAAAAAATACGATCAAAAGTAAAAAAATCACATCTCCATGACTGAATTTTAAAACAAACACGTTGAGCAGTTTGAATTATTATTATGAGCTTGTATGATGTTTAAAAAATATTAGTGTTCTATTATTTTTTAGACATCGCCATATCGAAAAATATATTTTTACAAAAAACCGTTTGAATTTTGGTCACTTTGTTATAAAATATATATTATTTGATATAAGGCTAATAACAGTTGGTGATAATTTTGTTGACATTTTTCATATTTTATAGGCACTGACCTAATGACCTTATCCTAAACTTTCACTTGACATGACCTCCCAAATCATCTACGCTCACATCAGCTGTCCTCAAATCGCATTCAATAGCATCCCTCCATCTCTTTTTTGGTCTTCCTCTACCTCTTCTTCCTTCAACATTCATTTCTCTAACTGTTCTTACAGCTACCATTTCTTCTCTCCTCATAACATGACCAAACCATTTAAGTCTATTTTCTATCATCTTATCCACGATTGATGCTACACTTATACTCCCTCTTATATGCTCGTTCCTTATTCTATCTTTTCTAGTCACTCCACTCATCCATCTAAGCATTTTCATCTCTGTTCTACTTTGTTAACACCCGTGCAACACTCAGAACCATACATCATAGCTGGTCTCACTACAGTCTTGTAGAATTTACCTTTTAGCCTCATTGGAATTATTTTATTGCATAAGACAGCAGTCGCTTCTCTCCACTTCAACCATCTGCACTTAATCCGGTGTCTTACATCCCCAATCACGTTCTCACCTATTGTCACTGATCTTCTTATTTCACCTACCTCACGTTTTCTTTTGTCAACCAAACCGGAATTTCTAGTAATGATAAAATTAATTGTCATAAAGAATATGAAATTGTTCTTGTTCTAGTAAATTCAATAGAGGGTAATAACTTTCATATTAAACTTAAAAGGTCAAATAAAGTTATAATTCTATCTTCATTAGTTTCTATTGTTAAAATTAATAATGAAATAATTAAATAATTAAAGTAAACCCATTGCTACTATTTCAACTAATCGCTATTTTAAAAAAAAACCAACAGTCCGGCACGGTGTGTATAATTGGGTGCAGTATAGATAATATGTGACAGTGATTAAAATCATTATCATAAAAAAACGCCTTGATGCAAATCTGTAGATAGTGTTTAATTTTAAAATTTTAATGGATTATTACAAAAGCTACATGATCTCCTATTTTCTTATTTATATCCTATATACAAGTTATATGCATTACTAGTGCAAATTATATAATCGATGGAGGATTTCTCCTCTATAAAGTTATTTGACAAATGTATCAAACAAAATTTATTTCCATTTTCTTATTCATTTTCCCATTCTAAATTTTGATAGAATATATCTTCAACAAAAGTACAATCTTCTTCATCTTTAATCTATATTTCTATTGAATTTGTACGCCATTGACCTTTGTAATGTTCACATATAATAGAACATTTAAGCCCTGTTTTTCAGCAGCCACAATTTTACCAGCTCCAACACCTGACTAAAGGCCGTTTTATGACAATTATCTTTATTATTACCAGAAATTCTGGTGGCAATTGACATGATATAATTGTTTGAGAATGTACAATTTAGCGTTTAGTTGGAAGAATTGGAAGCTGTGAGACAGTTCTAGAAATGATTGTTGAAGGAAGAAGAGGTAGAAGAAGACCAAAAAAAAAGATTGAGGGATGCTATTGAATGCGATATGAGGACAGATGATATGAGCGTAGATGATTTGGGAGGTCATGTCAAGTGAAAGTTTAGGATAAGAGTGGCTGACCACAAGTAGTTTGGATTAAGGCCAAGGAAAAGAAGAAGATACCAGAAATTCCGATGGCAATTGACATAATATAATTGTTGTTTGGGAATGTACAATTTAATGTTTGGTTGGGTTTAAACAATATAGTGTCAAATCAATTACCCACTCTATCGGTTGTATCTTAATATACACTACATTTTAATGATACTATAAATAAATAAACTCACACATACACACATTTACATTTAAAATATTGTGTCTGCTGTAAGTATAACATTGTATAATGTATTCTTGAAGATAAAAAAAACTGGTGAAAACAGATATATTATATTTAATTTTTTTTTCGATATTGCAATATAATATTCCTTAAATTTGGTACGATATCGTTAATATATCAAATCGATATTCAAAAATATATTGTTGACAAACCCTAATAAATATATATAATTTTTCTTCTACCTCTAAAAATTGAGCCATTTAGTGTTTTTTTAAAACTAAAATATATAACACTTATTAGTTAACTTAAATATTAGAAAATCAAATATTTAAAAAAAATGATTGCTTGAGCTAGAAGATAATTTAGCTGATAAATGTCTAATGAAGAAATAAACAGATTCTAACTTCATCTCCCTCTATTTAAATTATTTAAAAAATAATGGATGAATAGTTATTATCAATATTCAATCTTTTGATAAAATCATTTTACAACTTATAAACTAATTAAATATGTATAGTGCAAATAATATTTTAAGGAGCAAAATTGAATAGTAATAAACTAAATTTAGACAAAAAATTTATTTTATTTTATAAAGATATTACATGAAGTGTAATTAAGAAAATCATTCCATATAATAATTTTTAAATAAAAATTCTTGTTATTAATGCATGGAGAGATGTATTTAAGAATTTTATACACTAGGTAAAGAAGAAACCCCCCACATAACTCAAATTTCTTCAGAAATATATTTTTTTAACAAAATATAATTTATAATTTAAGATATACATAAAAATACATCCATTTATAGACACAAGTGTACTTTTTATTAATATTCCATAGCAATAATTATTTATTTTAATGCAACAAAATTTTAAATGTCTGCCGCACATATTCATCCTTCCTCTAAATTTTGGACTTTATAACTATAGACTACTTTTTAATTTTACTATAAAATTTAGTGTTTTAGTTTATATTACGAATGCAATAAATCGTGTTCTATTAATATTATATTTAAAATTATGAAAAATAGGATGATGCTCTTTATAACTGTGCTAGTTCTATAATGAATATATAGCATGTCTGGCATATAAATAAAAATGCTGGCAATATTGATAAAGTTTCTTATAACTACTAAGAAAAAAAAAATGACTGTTTTAATTGACAGTTAAGATAAGAAGTAATTTAAAGAGTACTAAATTATAATAAAGTAACTTCTCTGTGTTGAGCCAGTTAATGAAAAACTGATTTCCTGTTAATGAAAGAAGCTGGAAAATCTTACAATGTACTTCGTGATGTACAACATTAAACTTTAAAAAAATAAAATAGTGAAATAAAAATTTTCTTAATCTAATACTTCCCTAAAAACAATAATGATAATAAAATAATTCTCAACTATAATTCAAAATCGTTTTTACTTTGGAAGTTATTAATACCCAACCATCCTAGTTAAGCGACTGGGTATCTTTATTAGCATAATAAAAATACCACAATTAATGGAATATTATTTTTCACGCAGAAGGAAATATATTCTAATTTTAAGACCTTAATATTTTAAAACCACTTTTTACTTTGCATGTAAACAAATAGATTAAAAATAAAAAGAATATTTTAAGGAATACAAGATATATTATTGATAAGATCTACAAATAATGTAAGAACTAAGATAAAGATTAGGTGTAGTGATTGGAATTACACTATAATTAAAATTTGAATATAATTAATTGGACACAATATAATTTAAAGTTAAAAATAATTTATCAAAACCTTAATATAAAGTTTGTTGACATGAAGGAGCAATGTGTAATATAAAATAAAAACTTTAATTTATCTCCTTAAAACAAAAATTGAGTTATACTTAATAAAAACTATCAAATGGATGAGAACAAAAAAATAATAATTCCCCAATATTTTCAATAAATAAAGGAAAAATAATTTAATTTTTAATTAAGTTAAATTATAATAATTGAAAAAACTAAAAAAAAAGAAATGAATAGGATTAACTATGAGAGACATTAGTAATGGATATGGGATCAATTAATATTTAATAAGGAGCAAACTTAGTTCTGTCTGTTTTAGATTTGTCGCCAGAAGGGCTACGATTACGCTGGAAATAATTTTTTGGGCGATGAACACCCGTGGTCTGAATTGGAGGGGATTGATTGGCACCAGATAAGGCTCCCAGGAGGTCAGTTAAACCACCAAGAGCAGATAAACTGGATAGAGCATTTATTGCACCAGGCTTGGCAAACAGTTGAGCCAGTGGAATGGCGGACGACAAAGGAGATGCTGCCACTGTTGGAGGAGTAGGCAAGGTTGAGCTGGACCCATCATCAGGACTAGAGGATGAGTTTGCCCCCTCAAGATTGGCTTTCTGCAGTTCCACACTAAAGAATAAATAAGGATTAGTGAAAAATAAATAAAGGATACAAATACTTTACGAATGATCACATGATAACAATAGGAATCAATACTTCGACTATGATTTAAGGAATAATGTTTATTTTAAATCAAAGTCATACCTCATTTCTATTAGATACTTGGCAACTGAAATAGAGTCTTTGTTTCCAGTTATTGTGATATGCCGATCTTCATTTTCCCCATTTTCATGATTACCATCACCTTTAGCAATATGTACTAATGCACCACTTATTTGTCTAGTCAACATAATTTCACATTCAATATTTATTACACAAAATTATTTTCAGAATAAATGATGCATACCAAGATTTATGTATATATATAGTAATATAAACTACCTATATAGTAGATTGTTTATATCATATATATTAATCATTTTATATGAGTATACATATAGTTGTATGATGTTTAAAAACAAATATATTATTTTAAGATATCAGTTAATTTGACATAACATTTTTTTAAAATTATTTGAAATCAAATAAACTTTAGTCAGTCAATTACACTATACTTTATTCTGTCGTAATATATTTTATTTACACTATAAATAAAAATTTTTATTAAAATATTTATTTTTATATTAAAAAATACGAAAATTTCATTAATCTATTATGAATAGGTAATATTAAGTATATTAACGCTTTTTCAATATTTAACAACAATTCAATTGAGGTGCCTCAGTTTCATAATTATTGTTGATAATAAATATAAATATATTTTTGCAGTAATTTATGATATTTATACTTGAGACCATAGGATTTTTCTTTCACTCTTAATCTAAGCTTGTCATTAGTAAAAATACATCCAACACGACAATTTTTTTAGTTTAACTTCATTTAGAAATAAACATTTTAGCTAAGTTAAACATATATTATATTTTTAAAAATAATTTAGGAGAAAGTTGAGTGATCTGAAAAGTGAAATATTTTTGGCTACATAAGTTTTACAGACATTTTTTTTTAAATTTGCACCTTTTTAACCAATTATAGTCTATTTTTAAAACTACGATAAAAGAATATCTTGGAAAACTTGTGTTATAATTATACAAAGAGAGCATAATGGATTAATATAATCATGATATTTCACATAAGTTATTTAAAATTTAACTGTATATTTTGAAAACTTTAATTGACCTAATTTGAATTAAAGGAAAAAGGCTTCCCATTAACTTGTTTAATAATATAATGTTGTTGTAATTGCAGATACAACAGAATCAATCTTTTTCTTATTCTTTCTCGCCTTAATCCCAACTACTTGAGGTAGGTCACCCTTATCCCAAACTTCTACTTGACACAATCTCCCATATCATCTACGCTCACATCAGCTGTCCTCAAATCGCATTCAATAGCATCCCTCCATCTCTTTTTTGGTCTTCCTCTACCTCTTCTTCCTTCAACATTCATTTCTCTAACTGTTCTTACAGCTACCATTTCTTCTCTCCTCATAACATGACCAAACCATTTAAGTCTATTTTCTATCATCTTATCCACGATTGATGCTACACTTATACTCCCTCTTATATGCTCGTTCCTTATTCTATCTTTTCTAGTCACTCCACTCATCCATCTAAGCATTCTCATCTCTGCTATACTCATTCTCTGCTCTACTTTCTTATCAACCGCCCAACACTTTTAACCATACATCATAGCTGGCCTTATTACAGTCTTATAGAATTTACCTTTCATACAACAGATTCAATAAATGTAAAAATTAGAATTTTTCCTTAAAACAATGGGAAGTCCTAAATTTTAAGTTTTCAAATTACTGCTCACCTGATTTCTGCTATTTTGCTTCCTCTTCTACCTATAACACAACCAATTAAATCATTGGGAACAGTCATTGAAATTGTTTCTGAATTTGAATTAGCATTTTGATTTTTATGATCTCCACTGTTGTTACGATTATGTCTATTTCCTGTTCTTAGTTGACTACCAGCTAACGCTGCTAAGGCTATACATAAAAAAAAAAGATAAATACTAAATATTTTTTACTAAATATTAAATGTAGTATTTTCAGTTTCAACAGTTTTTAAACTACCAGCATAAGTAGAAAATTTAAAGTATATGCTGGCAGCATATCTTTTAAATTTACAACATAAAATAATTTTTCATTCTTACCAGCAGGATTAATGCCACCAGTTGAAGCTGTTCCTAATCCAAGAGCTGCTAAACTAGCAAGTGGATTAGTACGTTGTCTCCCAAACTAAAATTAAGTTGAGAGTAATACAGTCATATTATTGCATTTTTTAGATCAGAAAACAAGTTATTTTAATAAGAAAATTAACTTACATCATTTCCTACGGTACTGTTTGCAAATCCTGAAGTTTTACTACGAGGATCATAAGGTATAGTAGCACTACGAGGTGGTGACTAAATAAACACAGATAATAAACAATAGTTTTAGAATAGTTAATTTTTACTTTCACAATGCTACTTTTTTCAATAAAAAAATTAACAAAAATGAAAATTTTCATTTTAAAAATAGCCTATGTACATGATAAATGGTTAATACTACAAATGATTATATGATAATGAAGTGTCCAAGTTTTATTCATTTAACGTAAAATCAAATATTTTAATACATTTTTTTTAAAATTCTGATTTACTCACATCTAAAAGAACATTGCACACTTGATAAACACATTGAGAAATTGTACCAGTTGTTCCAGTGATTGAAACTAAACGCTCAGTAGAATTAGGTAACATATCCGAAGCTACTTGAATAGCTGCTCCACTAGATTCTCTGATTTCTTTAATTTTGCACCCTCCTTTACCAATAATAAATCCACATTGTGATGCTGGCACAATTAACTTAAATGTTAATGGTGCTTTTGGACCATTCCAATCTCCATTTTGTCTCTCAAAAAACTAATTTTATTAATTAATAATAAAATAGTATATTAATAAGAAAACAACTTTACTTCTTCTACTTTGAGCCCTATAAGTTCAGTAGCTTTACAAATAGCATTAGTAGATCCAGTAATTGTCACTATACGTTCTGGAGTTGAGCCATCAGAAATTAAAACTCTGGCACCAGACTAAGGAAAAAAGAAATTTAATTTTAGCTCTATTAATAAGAATTTGATTTAACATATTACTTGATCTCTAATATTTTTTACAGTATCCCCCCCTTTACCAATGACATTTCCAACTTCCTAGAAAATTCAACATAAATTAATGTTAAATAAATATTAGTAGCAAAATATGTTAGTATTAAATATAATACTCGGCCATGAAATAAGATCCGTATAGTTAGATTGACATCATTATAATCATTGAAATTAGAATTATTAGGGCCTTGTTGGGAGTTTTCCATTTTAATCCTGTAAGACATTTTAATTAATTAAAAATATAACTTATGAAAACAAAAAAAAAATTGTCATTGATGTTATAAAATGATTGTTCGAATTTTTTTATTATTGATTAGCAGTAGTAAACTAGTCTTATGTTTAGAAAATGTGTTAACGGCACTTCTCAAGCTGAAAAGCTATCTGTTAACTAATGATTTGTATTTATATGCTGTTTTTTTTTACCGTGCTTCGTACTTTTTTCAACCATCAATACAAATATTATTGCTATAGTCTTGGCTATTGGCTTATGGCTTTGTGAATGATTTATCACTTATCACAATACGTGACTAACAATTAGACTATGACGCCGGAATATATCAGTGCTACCAACTGTAATATCACAGTTGACATAATTTTAATGATCCAAACAAGCTCTCGAATTGTAAATTGCAATATAGATAACATAATACATTTTTATCTTCTATTGTAATAAATAAAATAGAATTGTTTGGTCCTTCGTAAACATATAACGTAAGGTGACGTTATCTAAATCAGTTGATGTATCTCTGTTTCACAAAGGTGTCTTTACAGCAATGGTTAATGTGGTTACAAGTATTGTCTTTTACTAGTTTTAATTTTTCGCCCAAAAAATATTTTTATATTTTACAGCAAGTTTTAAATTATTAAAGAGGCCAATTTTATTGTAAGGGTTAGCCCCTCTTTACTCTGCTAATGATACATAATAAAATTAAATAGAATGTATATGTTAAAGGAAATTATTAAAATTAAAAATGTTTTCCACACTGAATAGTCATTTAAAATACGTTATAGCAGAATAAAATTAAAATTAAAGAAATAATTTTTATACAAACGTATTAAGTTTAATCATTGGTGGTCAATCACACTAGAACAGCATATCATCAAGACAATATTATGTTATAAACTTAAAATTTAACATGTTTGAATGAGTTTGTAACCACTTAACTAATTTCACTAATATTATTACACTAAGAAGAGAAACTATATATCTGAAATTAGTACAAAAATTTAGTAGCTAAATAAGTAAAATGAAAATAAAAGAACTAAATATATCCATTTACCTAATGACTCAAAAAAATACCTTGGAAGAAGACATTTAAGCTTTTAATTGCATCAAAAAACTAAAAATCTAGCATCATTAAAATTAAATAACTATTTTTATCTTTATTGTATACAAAATACTTTAAACAAACATAATTAATAGCTACAGTATAATAAGGCACACAAATAGTAAACATAAGTTCTATTTACTTGACTATATAAGTACATATTTGATTTATAAATCATATGAATTTCAATTTTTTCAGTAGAAAAAATTGGTTATTGGATAAAAAAGTTTTTGGAATTTATGATTCTACACAGAATTTTATAATTTATCAACTATAAATAAAAGCACTAAGTGAATATCACTTTATTTACACATAGGAATTAAATATTTATTTGTCTTTTTTTGTATTTTCTTCAGTATCTTCATCAATTAGTTTGATAGGAGATTCTCTAGTAGCAAGTTTCTTTTTGTAGCTCTAAAAATAGAAAACAGAGTATAGAAATAATTATAATGGAGGAAATATGACGTTTCAATATTCAAATAAAAAAAATTAAACATGAAAAGATTGATATGGGAATCCAAATTTAACCAGAAATACATATGATTCATAGATGAGAAAAAAAAATTTTAAAGGGGCTATGAAAACTTGAATTTCAAAATAATATTTTTGACATTTTTATAATTTGAAAAACTTTTTCTTATCAATTTTTTTTTATTAAATGATGAATGTTCAAGGAAAGCGTGCGTCTCTTTCCACTGGACCTGGCTTCATAGTTATTTTTAAAATTTGATGACAATTAATTAGTTATAACTTGTGGCTTATCATTTTATCATTTCCAATTAATTAGCTTTAGAAATATATATCTTAAATTTTACGAATGTCAAAATATTAATAATATAATAAGAATACATTACATTAATAAGATTTTTGTTTACAAAAACTTAACATAAATAGCATATTAATTATTCTTTATTTGATCATTTTAACACAAATATAGAAAAATTAATTAAAAATAATTTTTCCATACCTCCTCAGCAATATTACACAACAACTCAGCAGTACTAGGTCCAGTTTCTTCAACCATTTTAAAAAGAAAACCATGTTTGTTTTGTAAAAGAATATGGGGATAATCAAACTCAACCATATTACCAGCATCCATAACTAGTATCTTGTCTGAATCCATCACAGTATTTAAACGGTGAGCAATTGTCAAAACAGTGCAATTTGAAAATTTAGTTCTAATAGTATTTTGAATTAATGCATCAGTTCTATAAATCAATAAAAGTTTATTAAATATTTATTAAACATCAAAACATAATATATAACTGAAATAAATAATAAATAATATTTACTGCGGATCAACATTAGCAGTAGCTTCATCTAATACCAAAATCTTATTATTTCTAATAATGGCTCTAGCCAGACAAACAAGTTGTCTCTGTCCAACACTAAAATTAGAACCTCCTTCAGACATTTTAGCATTTAAACCTCCAGGTAAATCTTCAACAGGATCTTTGAGTTCAACCTATAATAATGGATGTTGTTTAAATAAGTTGAAATAATTAATTTGTCAATAAAAATTTATATTGTTACTTCTTCTAATGCTTCCCAAAGAGCATGATCAGAAAATTCATCAAATGGATCCAAATTTTTCCTCATTGTACCAGAAAATAAAACTGGTTCTTGAGGAATAATTGATATTTTAGAACGTAATTCATGTAACCCTAAACTATGTATGTCTATATTGTCAATAATAATATATCCTTCATTAATTGCTAATCTGAACAATGCTCCAATTAATGATGATTTACCAGCACCAGTTCTTCCAACAATTCCGACCTAAATTAAAACAAAATGACTTAACTTTTATATTTTATGAAAAATAATTTAATGACTATCCTACTTTTTCTGAGGGTTCAATATTAATGTTGAGATCTTTAAGAACATGTTGAGTATCTGGACCATAACGAAGATACAATTTTTTAAAAGTTACTCTTCCTTTTGCTGGCCAATCCTTAGGTGGTTTTTTATCTATTAACCATTTTACAAATAAAAATAGATAATTTTTGTTTGTTTTATAATAATACATGTTATACCTGGAGTTGATTCTAATGCAGATTCTTGTGGAGCATTTGTATATTCAAGTACTCTTTCAACCGATGTCATTTGATTTTCTAATTCTGCAGATTGCCTCATACCCCACTGAAACATACCTGTTAATCCAATAGCTTGCGTTATAGCAAGACCAACATTACCTCCATAAATATCTAAAAAAATTGATAGTTATCAAGCAAATATTTTAAAAAGATGTTAGAGAATATGCTTACGGCTTGCAAAAGTTAAGAAACTGAATGTTACAATACTTATATAAAAAAGACAAACCACGTCCAACCAAAATCCAAAAGCTCTACTTGATGTAATAAATAAAAACCAAGCTGAAGAATGTAAGTCCTATAAGAATGTTACATGTTTAAATTTTATAAAAAAAATGTTTAAATTTAATAAATACTTGGTGATTGTCAAATTCCTTTGATAATATTTGTTCAGCTCCAAATGCACGGATGGTTGTTAATCCTTGAAGTGTAGCGTTTAAATGAGCAAACACTGGACTTCTAGCTAAAATATTAAAATTTTTTTTGTTTAACTTTAAATAAATTTTTACAAAAGTATAACTGTTTATTGAAAAAAAATTGTAAATTTTTTACTTACTGACTCCTTCTAATCTTTTAACACTTCTGGATGTTGATAAATAATAAACTCTCAATTTGTAAAATATAATAGCCACAATGATTGTAGGTATCATTAAGTAAATATTAACAATAGCAACAACCACAATAATACCAAGTAGAGTTAAGCCAATCTAAATAAAATTAATAATATTGTTTTCAATAAAACAAACACAATTTTTTTTTTTATTTTACTTGAATACAGTCTATTAATGCAGCTGGTAGTAATTCATCAATAGCACCCATATCTTTTGAAAAACGATTCAGAATTCGACCTGATAATAAATTAAACAATAATAAATATAAAATAAATTAATTATGACATAAATCTATCATCATACCTGACGAATTTGTATTGAAAAAATACATGGTCGCTCTGGTAATACAATTGAACATTTTATTATGTAAATTCATTGATGCCTTCATACAAACAGCAACAAATGTGATAGATCGAATAAGAGCAGCCACAATCATGGCAAAGGTGATAACAGAAAATACGATTATACAACCATTGCGAGTTGTGAACCAACTAAAGATAGAATCATTTTCAGATACAATAACATTTGTATTCATTGAACTATTATAAGACTGCTTTTGGAAAACATTTTCTTCTAAGTTGACCCTAATTATAATAAAAATATACTAAAAATTTTAAAGGAACATTTAAAAACATGACTCACCAATAAGTAATCCAATAATCTCCACCAGAAGCTAAAATTTGTGTTAACACACACATTGAAAGTAAAAACGTAACTTTTAGACAACTTCCGCCAGCTGAAAAATATGATGAGTAGATATCTAAAGACACATTTCCATATGATCTAGTCTCATCTACTTCAATAGGTTGAGCTTCTTCTTTTTTATTTTTACTATCATCTACTGATGATGCAACACTTTGAACAGACATTTGTCGTGACAAATTTGAATTTTGTCTATTCTTTGAACGGCTAGTTGAATCAGATTTGCAATCAGTAAGTACTTCAGCTTCAACAGAAGTTTCAGAAGCATGGAGTAGATTAGTGAAATCCAAACCAGAGTTTAAGAGATCATTATATGATCCTTCTCTTAGTACATTTCCCTATTAAAAAGTTAGATATAAAAATGAAAATTTTCTTTAAAAGTTGAAAACTGTTTTTATTTATTTTAAAATCACAGGCTTTATCATCCTGACTACCGTAACAACTCAAAATAATACAATCTGGTAAGATACTCATTTTCTTAAAAACTATTGAATAATTTAAATATTTTTAAAGAAAAAAATTAATTGTTTAAAAAAACTCTATAATCATATATAGTAAATTTTTTTTTTTTCATTTCTTCAGGATTAAGAATCTTAAATTTAATTTTCTTAAATAGGAAACCCTATTTTAAATTAAATAATATGATAGAAGAAAAAAATTACAAATAGTTTTGTTCATATTCATTTGTTACATGTTAAAGTTAAATAAGTTGAAAATTCTTATTGTTATTACATTGTTTTAAATACAGCTTTTATTTTTCTATGTTGTCCCATAAAACAATTTTTATTGACTAAGATATAAAAACTAAGAAGAACAAAATGTTAAGATAACAAGTTTTATTGTTACATCATACCATGATAAATAATTTATGAGCTATCCATGATAAATTATTACTACCACCAGTATTACAAAAACAAATCAATGATAAATTCTCATAATTTCTAAAAGGGCACAAATAAAAAAATACTAAACTACATAATTATTTCAGTTTTTTAAGACTAACAATTTTTCTCTTTATAAAAATTAAAAATATTCAATAGTTTCTGAGAAAATTAGTGTTTTGCTAATTTTTGATCATCCTGTGAACAAGATGTTTACCTTGATATATTGATAAATACACCCAATGTTGAATTTTAAAGATTCTATTTAATTACTGTTTGTCATTAGTTAATACATTTTTATAACTAAAAATAGATCCTTAAATAACATAAAATCAGAATTAACAGTATTGTTTAAAATACAATATTAATTATAATAACTTTGAGTATGTCACAAAAAAAATTTGATACTTCACTTCATATTTTCTTAGTATAAATAGTAAGCATTCTGTTATTGTAATTCAATATTTCTCATCATGTATCAATATTAATATCACAATATACCCATTAGATATCGTTATCAAAATATAGGTATCTTCTTCTTATTCTTATTCTTCCTCGCCTTAATCCCAACTATTTGGGGTCGGTCACCCTTATTTTAAAATTCCACTTGACACGATTTCCCAAATCAGCTGTTCTCATATCGCATTCAATAGCATCCCTTCATCTCTTTTTTGGTCTTCCTCTACCTCTTCTTCCTTCAACATTCATTTCTATAACTGTTCTTACAACTTCCGATTTTTCTCTCCTCATCATGTCGAAATTTCAATATTGTTGAAAACCCCTAATATATATATATTCAAATTTACATCTTAACTTACATTTTGCATTAATATAATCTGATCAACACTATTTAAGTATTGTAGCTGATGGGTTATTAGGACACATGTTTTTTCTTTTAAAAACCCTACAACAAATCATTTAAAATTAAAATTGTATTAAAATAAAATATGATAATATGATAGTTGATTTTTACCTTTAATACACTTGTCAAATAAATGTTTTCCAACATGAGTATCAACAGCTGATAATGGATCATCCATCAAGTAAATATCAGCTTCTTTATAAACAGCTCTATAATTTAACATAACTATGAAATGATACAAATATACATTTTTATATTAATGGAAAAATACCTAGCTAAATTTATTCTAGCTCTTTGTCCGCCACTAAGAGATACACCTCTTTCGCCTACAATTGTTCTATCACCATAAGGAAATTGTTCAAAATCTTTTTTTAATGCACACACTTTAATTACCTAGGATTTAAAATTAGTATTTAAGGTTGTTCTCAGGCAAGTAAAAAATGTATTAACAAATAAGTACTTTTTTATATCGTTCTTCATTCATAGGTGAGCCAAATAAAATATTTTGTTGTACAGAACCAGCAAATAGCCATGGCTCCTGAGATGCATATGACATAACACCATTTACAGATATATTTCCTTCAGAAAGTGGCAATTCTCGTAATATTGCTTGAAACAAAGAGCTCTGTAATTTTTTAAGTCATTTAATGAGGTGATGAAAATGAAAAACAGCAACTACTCTAGGTGCTAAATCAATCAGTTTTAACTTTATTTTTATGTCAACACTAAATGATGTTCATTAACTATTTATAATTCAAAATTTTTAATTAAAAAAAAAAAAAAAAAAAAAAA